CTAATTCAATAAATAAAAATCAGTCATATTACTTATTTATATTACTTCATATTTATTCTAAAAATAAATAAAAAATACGAAAAAAATATGCGCCGAACTGCCCCGGCGTCAAAACGATCTGCTTCAGTGAAAATGTATGTAGAATTCAAGAAAAACACATGTAGCAGGTTTAGTAAGAAAACAGTTGATTCGTGCAAAGTTTTTTGCCAAAAATACACATTCATACCCAATGAAAGGTACAGGAAATTTACCTATATTTTACGAAAATTATACCTATAAGCACAGTAAAAAATATAGTAAATTAATGTAAATTTCTAAGAAAACTATACGCACATGTTAAGTAAAATATGCGCAGATTTACGAAAATTTTCGGTAAAAATATACAAAATAATTGGGAAGATTTACATATGTAATCTTGAAATGTATGTATATTATATGTAAAAACTATGAATAAAGCACAAACATTAGTATGAATATACCTAAATTTTATGCTTATTGTAATATTAAAATATATAAAAAGATCTCTTTTGGGGGGGAAGCCATTTTATGATAGCTTCACACTTTTCATACAAAGGACCACTCGTAAATTGCTCATATTTTTCATGACTCATTTATGAATGCATGCTGCCTGGGTCAGATCTTAATATCACTGCTGTCAGGTGTATTATACAAATTTTCATTAACAAAAATATTTATATTTTCTTTAAATTCATTGTTGAAACAGCTGATTTTCCCCAAAGAATAACATTTGTTACTACACTGCATCACAAGCAAGTCTTTGAGTTTGTTCTCAACGTAGCAAAGTAAATTGTAAGACAGCAGAAGAATATGTACATTATTTCATAAATTTATTCTCTTGGGGGGGGGATCGGAGTTTCCGTTACACTTTTCTAAAATTGATGTTGATTATTCCCAGAAATATGATTATAATTAACCATTTAATGAGTATGATTCAAATTATGATTATTTTTTTCTGCCAATGCTACAAATGCATATACATCATTATTTTGAAAATCTGCTATGAATATTTGTTTTAAGTGATTCACATTTAATTTGGTGTAATTCCCTCTAGGGTTTCAAAATTTCCTAGTACAATAATTATAATAATTGCAGCATATAGTCGTACAGTAAACCAAAAATTTGATATCCAAAAACTGAAAAGAAGGCAAAGACAAAAGTCATAGATTACATTTTTTCTAATAAATCCTGTATCCAAGATGCAATGCAAACCTTGAACATCTCTCTAAGAGGTCTACAAAAGGAATTTGATAGAGTTTTACCTGATTCTGGTTATCAGAAGTCCTATTTGAAGAGAAAAATAGTCTTGGCTATTGACTGTTATGTCCTTAGATAAAGAAAATTTAAACACTTCTTTTCAGAGACACTGAAGCTGCAGAAATGCACCAATGTACGAGGGCTATCCAGAAAGTAGATTACGTTTTGGAATAAAAAAATAAACAAAGTATAGGAAACAAATTTTATTATATACAGATGAAAGCCACACTCAAATACTACTTTTCTACATAGTCACCATACAAATTAAGGCATTTATCGTAGCGATGTACGAGCTTGGAAATTCCTTCGTCGAAAAATTCTGCCGCCTGCGCCTTCAACCACTTCGTTACCTCTTCTTGCCTTCCATCTTGCACAAAAACTTGTGGTAACCAAGCTTTTCGCTGATGATTTCGTGCAACAAACTTCGCGAAATTTGTGGAAAACTCAAAGAAAGTTCCGTTATTGTGAAATTTCGATTTTCACGGACTTTAGCATCGACTTTTTCGAGAAGTTCGGCGGTCACTATGCTGGGTCTCCCACTTCGATCTTCGTCGTGAACATTGGTTCGGCCATTTTGAAATCTTATGACCCACTGACGCACTCTACCTTCAGTGATAATGTTGTCCCCATACACTTCACGAAGCTGCCGATAGATTTCTATCGGTTTACAGTTTTTTGCAGTCAGAAACCTTATTACTGAGCGCACCTCGCAGCTCGCGGGATTTTCAATTAACGCAGACATTTCAAACTGTCACAGTATCTGAACGGAGCACAGCACGAACCTCTCACTAGCACGGCTAGATGCAGACTGAGCTGCGCAACGCTCTGACCCCAAGATGGCCGCGCTAGCCCCGCCCCTAGCGGACACAGACGGAAACGTAATCTACTTCCTGGATGGCCCTCGTATTTATTCCCTATAAAGATCACAAGTGCATTTCTGAAGTTTAAGATGAAGAAAAATATGTTTTGGCATACCAAGAATAAGGAATTTCCTGCAGTTAAAAAGATTAAATAACTATGAAATTTCCTAGAGTGACTACAAAAATGGAAAAAAAAAAAGGTACACTTTTAAACATGGGCAAATGCATATATTGATATAAGAACTGCTTACCAGAAATATTTTACACATGTCCAATGAATTAGTAACCATTCAAACACAATTACGATCTTCAGAAAGAAAACATTCCAAAACTCTATGAATATTTTCACTATTTTGTAATGAGAAAGAATCAGTGATTCGTGGAATTTAAGACGTACTTGACATTACTGATCCAGGTTAAAAAAAACCTATGCTGATACAGGAAGAAGCCACAAACGAACATACTTCTAAAATCTTGAAAAGAAATACAGAGGGCTGATAACAGGTTTCCTTACTTTAGCTATAAGATCATGCGACACTCCAGGAAAACCAAATGCTAGCCAAACAACTGAAGTCAATATTGAATGCATTTCAGGCAAATGACTGTCTTACAATTTAAGAAATTTTGAATGAGTGGTTAGATGAATGCGTAATCAAGACAGTTGACCTAGTTGATAAAGATTAGCAGGCCTGCTTTTAACTGCCACATTAAGCTGTTGTAAAAGCAAATTCAACTAAAGATACTTTCAACTGATGCAACTGCAAAAGCAGACAGCAACATTTCTACATTTCTATGAATGAGTATCTGGCTAAAGGTCCAAAACTTGATTGAACTAATAATTTAATATTTTGAATCATTTCAAATTAGTAAAATACAGCATAACACCAAATATCAGAAAAGCATTTTTGCAGATACATAAACAAGGACAAAAACTTCCACCAGTTTCTTTGGTAAGAAGATAATCCTAAAAACATGAAGATATTCAGACACAGATATATTACTTTTGGTGTCAGCTTCAAACCATTTTTACGCCCACCAGCAGCCGAGCGGTAAAATCACTGAACACTGGTAGTTCTGTCCGAGGTTTGAATTCCGCGAACGGGCTGGCTGCATGGACGTTTTCGTGGTTTTCCCCATGTATAACGTCTATACGAGCCAGTTTCCCTTAGAATGTCCTCCACGAAGGCCTCCCTTCCCTTAGGCAGATAGCCCTAATGTGCTTTGCCATATTCTCAATACACCTATACACCAAACCATTTTTACTGTCAGCTACAGTGAAATGCCATCTTGAAACCTGATCATCTGCAAAACGAAAATATAAAATTATGGAATCAATGTCTGTAGACAACTGTGTAATGACATTAGATTTTTTAGAAAAGTTTAATGAATTAATTAATACAGAAATGAAAATCTAAACTTCAAGGACGGATATTTAACAAACCACTATTCCACTGTCGAAATTGGAAAATTTAACATTTTGCCAGCATCAGAAACTTAGGTTAATGAATCAAAAGACAACAAAGCTGTACCTCTCTTATGCTTGATGTGGGATATTAGTGAAGACAAGTTAAGCTGCAAATTTAAAAATAATCAATCTGGTAATGAACTGATAACTAGCCAACAAGATATTTTAGAAAATCTGACTCTAGTGTCCAGTGACACTGATAACAAAAACCTTATTGCAAGAGCACTGCTAAGCAAGACCATTTTGTTCGCATTCACAAAGTTATCTCCATCTTTTGGTTAAGACAAAAATACATATTACAATAGTGGATCAAAGAAGTTCACTCACTAGTTCAGGCATCTACAGTGGCTGGGCTGTCAGTTGGTGAATGCACCAGGAAATAAATCCACATATCTTTTGCATTGGTGATAAAATACTTAATACCACAGATCTGTTTGACTTCTAAGGTCCTTTATAATCCACCAGGATACTAGGGTATCTTAATTCCCAGCCCTACTAATAGATAATGCCATGATGTAGCAGTAATGAAGATAATTAATGCAGTGCCACCATATATGAAAAAAATGAAACCAATAGATTTTTTTGCCATGAATTATTATCCCAACTTTGGTCTGTCAAAAAATCAGTTATGTACTTTTTGGCTGACAGAAATATCATGAGACTGGCATAAATATGGAGAAAATTACATTTGTTTGCATTCCTTCATTAAATATGCCACCAAAAATAATCAGGATTTTTTGCTGCATTGATTTCAAAATATTTTTATGAATGTACCTTCATGACAGAAAAATAATACATTAATAGAACAGCTTGCAGGAAAGATATGCTCATTTTGACTTGAACTGCTCCAGAAGCTATTAGCTACAGTACTTCAATGAAGAATGGATGCTTTAATCATTTACAATACAAATATACTGATTACATGGATTACAAAGAAAAAATTTTTAACTGAAAAATTTTCCTCAGAAATATCCTACTTTAGTTACAGCCACAGAAAGTTCATTTAGTCATTAGTTACATTCTTCAACACATAAATTACATGAAATATATAACCTTAAAACTATACAAGAAAACATAACTTTCTGCCTCAGTTCTCTGCTTGCTTTGGAAAGCTAGCAGCTAACTTTTTAAGTTTCCCTAAAATGTCTAAGTTACCCAGAACTCAGTATTACTCTTTGTATATTAAAAGAATGCTGTGACATATCACTTTCAAAAAATGAATGTGTATTTTTAAATGTTATCAAATTAATTAGTTAAAAAAATTAAAAATTAACACATATATTTAAATATCGTAAGTATAATTTTAATTAACATTATTTTGTAGAAAATCATAAATTATACATATTTTAAATACTTTAATAAATCAAATACATTTTAGAAAGAATGGAATAAAATCTCACCAATTTATTAGCAATTTCTTCAGGACTAGTATCGGTATAATCAAACTTGAAAGTCACAGTTTTGCCTTTAGTTGATTCCAACTGACATTCGACCATAGTATCTTCAACACCTATAACAGTTAATTTGGGAGAGCGATCCTGAGTTCTACGACGCTTCATTTTTTTCTTCTCATTGAATTTCTGATGTTTTGCACCTTCAACTGTATGATCCAGATCAGTCCCACTTTCTGCGACGGGAATGCTAAAAATGAAAATTATGCTTTTAACACATACACATATTAACAAAAAGAAAAATTTGTTCAAATTAAATATAAGAGTTTATAATTACTCATAACAATCCAAATGTATGCAATCCTATAGTACTAATAAACAAACAAACAAAAAAAAAAAAAAAAGCCACTTTGAAAATTTAAGATCCCATGTTTTTAAATTTAAATGGCCTGTTTAATGCCTCCTATATAACAATCACAAGTCTTTTAATCTATTCAGTTCTCTGCTCAAGTTACTTTTAAACATACCCCCCAAAAGGGAGGATTGCATCAAAAGTTTCCAAAGAAAAACATAGGAAAAAGCACGGCTACTCATCATAACCTAGGGCTGCAAGAATAGTTTCTAGCTGAGTAAAAAAAATAACAATATAAATAATAGATTTCAAAGAAAGAAAAACATAAAACAAACATGCTCTATGATCAGACAAATAAATCTGTGCACCAAATCAGAAAGTTCTGAGATTAAAGCATAACTTGACTGTCTTACAGGAAGTTAAGAAGAAGAGAAACAAGTTTCCAATGGAAAATACATGAAAAAGCAAGGTTGCTCATCATAACCTACAACTTCAAAAATGGTTTCTAGATTAGTATAAAATAATAATAATAATAATAATACAGTAATCTCCTACCAGATTTGCTTAAAATAATATTAAATTTCTGCAGATTTAAAATTGCATTGTAGTGGGCATTGTGTCTCAAGGTAGGACTTAGTGCAGAAGGCTGAGACTTTCTTAGATTCCTGTGGTTTAAGAAGAATCAAGTACATTATGAAGTGAATGACATAAAATGATTTAGATTTGCAAGAGTTTTGTTAGGGATCTCACATAGTCCATTTTTCTTTTCTGCAACTATTACATTATATTTAAAGATATAAATGGAAAGTAAAGGGAAGTTTGCCAAATACTGCAAAATCTTTGAGAAGGCTTCATCTTTGCCTTCAGATATGCAAGACACAATGATGGAAGCCAGTATGAAGTTATGCAAATTTGCTACAAATTCTTAAGAAAGATATATGGGCAGAAAATAATATTGACTGTCAGCCAGCCTGTAACTTCAACAATATGCCACTGAAGTTCTGAGGGCATACATGAACTAATAAGTTATCCTAAAGCTTTGCTTCGAAGAAATGCAAGCTATGAAACATTGTGTTAAGTACTCGTGGAAAGTTTTTGATCCCACCATCTTGACTACATTTTTATATCACAATGAAAATTTTACTAGAAACACTTTGGGAAAAGTGAATTGTAGAGATGAACCTTTACGTAATGAGCTGCTCATTTGGTATGGTAGTCAGGGAAGCTGACTGCGATGCCGAAGGACCTGGATTCAAATCCTGGAGAAGGCATGGTTGTAACTGCTTGTCCCTTCATAGGAAAGGCGAAGGTGCCCCACCTATTAGGTACCTCCATAATAAAGATACCACCACATCCGGCCTTGTACAGATTAATGGACTGGGTTACATTTGTAATTGTTTAAAATCTGCCATTGAAAGGGGGGAAACCCTTTACGTAATGATTCAATATCAGCGGAAGGAGTGGTGTATAGAAATCAACCACCCCCAAGAATAAACAGACCTACTGTAAAGATTTTAAATCTAAAGAAACATAAGAGCACATATTTTCTAATGCTAGTTCAAGTGTATATGGAGCAGTAGCTTACTTCTAAACTAGAGTGAGAACAGGTTAAAATACAAATTTCATTTTAGCTGAGTCTTAATTAGCATTAATTAAGGAAACTTTCCACAATTTGAACTTCTGGCAGCTCTATAGCAGGGAATTATATAATGTCCATATTTACATTTCTTAAACTTGGGTGATAATTTATTTGAACTGATTTGTAAATATGCTTGTACTGGATCAGGAATCTCCTAGGTTTATAGAATTCAGTTACAGATGATCAGAATATGGATTACAGCAAGAAAAGAATGAAATTTAAATATACAGTAGAAAATGCTGCTTGGTAGGGAGAATTTGGGGAAAGAATAGCAAAGATAATAAAAATTTGTTTCAGAAAAATTCTTGAAAAGGACTTATTATCGTATGAAAAACTATAAACTGTAATAATGGGAATTGAAGTTATCATTAATTAGCTGTCAATAAATTGTGTGTATAATGATCCTGTAGAACAGTCTCCACTAACTCCTGATTTTTTAATAGGGAAAAGATAAAAGCCTGTCCTTGAGCTAGCTAGATCTACCAAGGAAGTTAGCTGCAGTAGAAATGTCATACTGAAGAGGTACCTATTGCAAAGGTCTGCTGAATATTTTTTTAATTACTTACTTTAGCACAAAGAATTCTTACTGTAATTAAGAGGTGCTCATTGTGTAATGCCAATCAACATGGCATTTGATATTTGAACTGATGATGTCCTGTTAATACAAGATGACAAGTTACCTTGTCATACGTGAAGCTTTAAGAAGGATGCAGAAACACATACAGAATGAGATGGTAAGGTACATAATTTCACTTCAAAGACTTCAACTGGAATGTTAAGGAGAGCAATGCAACTGCTTTATTATTTAAAATTTTAGAAGTTTGTAAGGTATCTTAGTTTAATTTCATAAGATTTAACTTTACTTCCGGTGAACTTCATTCCATGGGAAGAGGAGAAAATGCAACAGAATACTTATGTAAACATCACTGACAGCCTAGCACAGTAGGAGCATGCATTATGTACACCTTTAAAGAATTTAAAATTCCTTTATGTTCTTGCACTTTCTATCTGGGGACTGTGCTACTGAAACTGATTAGCTGGTTACTAAGTGACTCAAGTGTTGCTACTAAAATTTCAATCATGATATTCCCTTATTTCCATCACCAAGTAGGCGGGGCCACTGTAGAAGAGCAAAGCCATTCATCCTGAAGAATAAAATTATTTGCTGGCCAAGATCATTTTATTTGGAGTCAAAGACACTGAATTATTGTAATAAGGTACCATTTTGGATTTAGTGGTTAGAAAGAAATTACACTGTGAATGTACAAACTTTATTATTAATTTATTTAATATTATTAAACTTGCCCTGTTTGCAAATGAATTTTTCATATATATATGCATAATGGAATCATGCTACACAGGACCTAAAAAAGCAGCTATAGAGTAGTTCATTAGATAGTAACCCCAGTCATAAAAGTAAAAATTGTCTTTAAAAGAACACTAAACAATGATTTTTCAAAACTGGCAAATAGCATTAAATTAAACTATGTAAGGAAATACATAGCTCTGCAAGAAATAAATTCAAGCTGAAAAACTAAATAATGCATGACTCAACTGCAGTTAAAAGAATAAAACATACCAATAATCTTTTGGGGGAGAAATGTGAAGAACAACTGCAAAACAGAAACAACTGCAGATAATCTCATATTTAGAGAAAACCAGAATTCTACAAGCTCATAAATGTGTTCGCCATGATTTCTTGCTTTCAATTTACTATTAATCAGTTTGTAAGAGTATGATTTCTGTATCAATATTCAAGGCGTTTAGATCTCTGTAAGGAGAATTTTGCCATGCAACATTTCTTCAATTTCAATAATTCATGAACTAGATCTGCTGAAACAAAAGTTAGATCAATCTGCACTTATGACAAACCTTAAACAGAATTGTATCACTTCATCTTGATATCTCTGGGCAAATATAAATACGCTTTCAAACATTTATGATGAAATTTTTCAATATTTTTTTTTAAATCAATATTTCTCTTCATATAATATCTGCATTGCAACAGTTGTTATATTCCTTTATATTGCTAATCATAGTTTACGTTCCAGACTCCCTTCAGATGTAAATGCATTCAAATTCAGCTATTGGAATTTGACTTAAGAGAACATATAAGAGGTCAATGTAACACAAATCACTGTGCTTCTAAAATGAAAAGTTTTTCTCATTAAGCCTTCTGTATACAATTTCCTAGGATACATATAGCAGCAAAATTTTAATGTTCAGCTACCAGCAATTAAGCTCATACTATAAAGAACATTTATGGGCAAAAATTAATCAGCATAAATTTTTGTTTTTCTTCTGTACTTCATCCCAAGCAGCAGCAGTTTCCATCTTAAAATTACTTCCAGAGGGCACAGAATATCTTGAAAGCTCAACTATCTTACTTAACATAATAATTCATATCAATGTCTAAACTTACATAGCTGTCTGGCCTACTTCTAAATGCCTGACAGCTCTTCACCTCAATGGGTCTTCTAAGTAATACTTCAATGCCATAAAAAAACATATTTACTTAATAAATACTAAAATCAAACCCTGAAACACAGATGTTTCAATCTGGAATTAAACAGGAAGAGAAACAACATCAATGTACAATTTGAAATCAGGTAAAACAGCAGCCTTACCTTGAGGCAGATTTTAGATAAAATTCTATCAATTTCAATGGCAATCAGCCACCTACACATGTTTTATGGAAAGTGTGTGTCATGCTATTATGTGCATTTTCAAACCATCTTGATCAAATCGGATCCGTTACTTCACAATACATCACTATATATATAATTAATATATATATAATTGTGAATACCACTGCACTTTGAACAGATCTTTCTATCAAACAGCTCATGACAGAATGCTTGTTTTGAGGTATGTGTTTAGGAGATTAAATCTCTTTCTACAGATGGAGAAATTCTGGCATACAGGAAAGAAAAAATATATTCTTTGTTATTTTTCTAAGGTATCCCAATCTTATCAAATTTAGTGTTCAAATATGAGATTCTGTGCCTCATATTATGAACAAGAATATAATTTTTTCTTACTTAAATTATTAATCAAACTACACTTTAATTTATGCATTACCATCACAGATAACTTTTGTAATGGCTATCTATCTTCATAGGTAACATCTGTATGTATAACATATATATAGATAGATAGAACAGGTCAAGCTAGTTAAATAGAATTTGCAGTTTCTGCTGATAGTTAAGAATTTCTTTTTTACTAGAAATTCTTTCTTTTTCAGAAATTATTCTGGAGGCTATCTTCTAACAAAGCAAAATTATAAATTTGGAATTTTTTTTTCATGTTTCCAGCAGAGGAGGAGGGAAACAGGGGAGTGGAGGGCACAAATTAGCTGACTACTTTATATAAATCAACAGAATATGCTCACCATGAAATAAGAACATAAAGTATCTATCAAAAATGTTTTCCAAGGTTTGAAAAAATCATCATACTTTCCACTCTTGGAATCATCAGAAAGTGCAGGCAGAGAACCACTAGAATCCACACGTGGCACAAGTGACACATTTTCTAATATCTCCTATGAACAAATAAATTTTGGATATCATTGACTAAATACTTGTTTGCAGTATAGCATCAGCACAATACATAACAAAATCCCAAACATTAAAGATTCATTTAAATTCAGTTTGCTTTACTCCTTGTTCATAACTAACAATGAATATGACCTTTAAATGAAAAGATTACTCATATAATTTTCTGTTGTTTGTAAAATTTAAAATAAAAATCCAAACATTAAATTTATTTAACAATTGTTTGAATAAATGTTATTATTGAACCGAATAAAAATTAGTGTTGCATTTTCTACCTTCCCTAATTAAAATATTGATTAACATGCTACAGATTATAATTTAACGTCACAATTCAACTAATACAAAGCATATTAGAATTTATTTCTATAAAATGAAATTAATATCCGTTAGAGATAAATTTTTATTCCTCCAAAATTTCGATTAAATACAAATTTTTAAATGTCACTGAATACCTCATTACTGCCAACCAAAAATGCTTAAACATAATTTAACATAGTAATAAATAATAAACTATAGTATCAATTGCATGAGACTATTCCAGGGTCTCAAAATAATTCAGCTAAATAAATATACATTTTTATATACATAACACATAAAAATGTCCAAAAACGTAATTACCAATACTTGCAATTTTCTTCAAGAGTAATTACTGAAGTCAGAATCATAAATTGTTTAATATCAAATCAAAAGAGCACACAGACCCCTAAATTACAAACAACAGATAAATGTGACAATAAATATACTCAGAAATGTGCTGTATTAACTCAAAAATAAGACCTCCTGAAACTCCTCATTCCATTTTAAGACAAACTTCAAGAAATAAAAATACAGATGGATATAAACTTCGAGAAATAAAAATACAGATAATATCTGATCAGAGCATGATTTTGATTGCAGTGAAAGATAAGCTACCTAATTAAATACAATACTTTATTATGGTACATAAAAAAAAGTATGAAGTCAATGACCAAATGCTATTTATTTGTTTTCAGGCACATCAGTGATAACTGTTGTGGATGTAGGACTAAAGTGAAATCGCTCATCTCAATATAACATTTATAATTGTTGGCAATCATGTACTATATATATATACATATATATACTATATATACATATATATAATATATACATTATATACATATATATACATAGATATAGATATATATATATATATATATATATATATATATATATACATATATATATATATATGTACTTATATATATATATATATATTATATATATATATATATATAATATATATATATATATGTATATATATAATATATACTATATATGATAATTACTTGGAAAGTTTATTTAGTAATTAAACAACCGAATTACAGAGTTACTTCTGCAATTTCATTTATCAAAATGCTCGATTGCAAGACCCTAAATTTTAGAATTATAAATACAGAGGAAAATGGGGAGGCCTTATATTTAAGAGCATATAGTATGATGTTAAGAGACAAAGCAATATAACCATCTCCAAATGAAATAAATACTAAATGAAAGTTTAAGTATCACGGGAATTAAATGAAAGAAAATTATTTGAGTAAATATACTTATGCAAAGTAAATTCTAGTTATTTAAATGATTACCACCCTTACAAAAATCATTAATTTTAACATATACCTTCTCTCATCTTTGATACTGAAGACAGCAAATAAAGCAAAAAACCTGAATAGTGTTTGTTGTTTGTTTTATTTCTGTAAGTGAGATTATGATGCTACTAGTAATTTATTTGCAGCAGAAAATAAAAAAAATTATGTAATATACGTGCTTTTTTCCCCCTCCCCAAGGGACTATTAAACATGAGGTTACAAAACTTTGCTTTTTTAATGCACAATTATCTGCAGCTGATGTTGTGACAACACTCATAATATAAGACTACACATTTCTAAATGAGTATGTTATACATTTCAAACTGAGTTAATTATATACAAGTACATCAGTTACAAACAAATTATAAAAGCACTAAGAAAACAAAATAAATAATTCAGATATCCAGAACCCCCTAATTCTTTAAGAGAGCACAAAACTAACACAATACAAAACTATTAATAAAAGAATGTTAACATTTCATGCAATGTTCATCAGACAAAAATATGAACTGTCAGAATCAAACAAATTGCAAACTAAAGAAAAAAGCATATTTCACAGCTGAAAACATTAAAAAAATTAAAGTAAGCAAAATTAAGAAGTGTTAACTTTGATTATTTTAAAACAAAACAATAATTATAAGTTTTACTTAAAAAGTGTCCATTTTAGCTTTAAATCCATCAAATAAATAAGCAAACATTTCTAAATACTCTGTAATTTAAGAACCAATATTCACACAAAAAATTCATTAAAGAAAAAATAAATGAAAATAAATTAAATAATAATTAAAAGAATGAAATTTTTAATAAAATAATGCATGCTCTTAAACACATTTGAAGCTAATTAGGTTTAATTACTCCATCAAATCAAAGCACGCAAGTTATCATGCAAAAAAGCCATGCAAACAGCCAAAATAGGGGAGGGATATATATATAAAGAAGACATGAATCCAAATTAGCATTACAAAAAAACAAATTTCTTACCAAAATACAATTATTTTACTGCCTATAAAATTGACCACAAGGTAAAGAATATAAAGCAGGCACAAAATATTACTTTACCATATTACATGGTAACATCTGGTTTGTATAATTATATTAGCATAAGAAATATTTTGTTACTTTTAGAAAGGTATACTTTTGTGCTACCTTTTCAGAAGAGCACACTCCAAGGTTTGAAAATTTCATCCCACAAAAAAAATGTTAATGCCATGTATATTAGCAGTATCAATATTAGCAAAAAACTTTATACAGAATAAGCTTATATTTAAAACTAATCAAATAAGCAACTGAGCTAAGAGGAAAAAAAAAATAACATATAATATATAGCTTAGTGGAAACAAGAGATTAAATAATTTTCTTCACAAACTTCATTTACAATTTTATACTTCATATAACAATACCATTGGGTGACTTTAATAAATTTATATATCTAAAGGCTTTTATTTTTGAAAATGCAATTTACTTAATAAAATTTCATTATTTAAGCATCCACCATTTTATTATTTGTGTTATAAAATTGTAGATGAAGTTTTAAGGGGAAATTATTTATTATCTTGTTCTTATTAAACTATATGATAAATTACTTTTAATCTTTTAGGCCATTAATTATTTCATGTGTTTCAAATAAAAGCTTATTTTATAAAAACATTTTTAGCGTTTTTTAATGTTTTTTAATTTCATTTTTTTAGTCTCAGTGACAAGCTGTCAAACAACTTATTCAATGGGAAAATAATTATTTTAACAATGAATAATCACTTTCCCACAACTGTTACGTCAAATAATTAAAAAAAAAAAAAAAAAAAAAAAACAGCAACTTTGCTAAACAATTGGAACTTGCATTAAAAATTCATATGAACTTCACTTAAAAGATTATTTCTGATCTATTCAACTGAGTAATCTGTAAAATTCTGGGGACTTTTGTTTGTTCATTAAATGAAATTATGTGAGAAAAACCATTTCAACAAAAAATTTTTATAGATCTAAATCAAATTTTGAAAATATCATTTCACCACAATGTATTTCCATCAGCAATGGGTATGCAGGCAAAATTTGACTTCAACAGCTCATAAGAGAAGGGTTTAAAAATGACAGGCAAAGTTTGACCATAGTGACAAACACTATGAGCTTGTTAAATGAAAGCTTACAAAAAGGCAGCTAGTTCTAGGAATTTCCAGAAGAAGCTAGAGAAAATTCCAGAATGTCATTTAATTAATACATTTTTATCATTATTGTTTTGAAAGGGGATAAAGAGTTTGTTTTACAAACCTGAGGGAACCGAAGCACTGCCTTCCTTTCATACTAGAGCACATTTTTTTTAATGCAGAAAATAGTCCAAAAAAAATCTTTTTATCATTTTTGTTTTAAAAAATTAGAGAATTTATAAGCTGCGGAAGTTTCTAAACGCTGAATAACTAATACATTTTTAGGTGTTGAAGTTTTAAAATAACAGACATCAAGTATACGAAACAATCAATAGATTTTAAAAATTTGACAAAAATAAAAATAAAAATTATGTTAAAAATTTCATAAAAATTTTGTTTAAATTATTTTTTTTCCAGTCTATCTGATGGTGCAAGTAGCAAAATTCTGCGGTTTTTAGTTTGTACATTAAAGGCAGATATGTGTGAAAAACCATTTTAACATTAAAAAAAAATCCAAGTCAAATTTTGAAAAGATAGCTTCACCACATTGTATTACCACTTACAGACAGTGAGTGACAAAATTCAAACTTGATAGTTTATAAGGTATTTGTTTTAAAATTGACATTTTTTAACCATAGTGATAAACATAAATAAAACATTTTAAAACAATATTTAGGACAAATAATTAATAATTTTATAACAGTAAATAAATGCAGAAGGTACTAAAAAGATCACCTACATACAAATTCATAAACTTCTAGCAATATGGATACACACACACCCAAAAAAGTTATCTGTATTCTAAAAATTTTGAAAATTTTGTTCTTTTATGTGTTTTTGTAAGACTCTTTACATAAGAGCCATAGTACATGTATGTGTGTACAAGCCTACATTCATACACGTAAAAGACAAGAAAGATTCGTACAATTTTCTCGATAAGATGCCAAGGCTTATGAGAACAAAAATATTTCCACCATACAATTAAATAAATTTCAGAGAATGTTTTTGTTATTAAAGGATGTAATTTATTAGGTGCAATTATTTTTTAATTAGCAGTGATTAATCATCCTGTCATAATTAACAATCTCATGGCATTAATTTGCTCTCACATAAATTTTTTCTCAATCAGAATTGAAGTATAAGAACTCAATAACATCATTTTCTTTTAAGTAAGAATATTACATAAGGTAGTGTAAATGTGTGTCTATTTATCTATACACCAAGAGGTCATACATTTATGAG